ATACACGCGCTTGCTGCAGACACACACGACTTTCAGGGTGCGTACGGCAGTAAACGACTGAAATAATAAAGCGGCAATGCTGTGTAAGGAACGCCTTAGACCCGCATTACACATTTGTGTAATGCGAGCGTAAACACACAAACACACACGAACACATACACAATACACACACACATACATGCAGACACACAGACAGACACATAACACACATACATACACACACATACAAACACAGAAACACATACACACACATACATAGACACACACATACACATCCACAGACGTACATACACACATACATACAGGCACGCAGACATACACATAAACACATACAAAAAAACCCACATACATACACACACACATACATACACACAAACACATGCACACACATACATACACACATGCATACAGACACACAGACATACACATAAACACATACACACATACACATGACCCGGCTTCGCCCGGGACTTGGATCCACCACGCCCGGCCGCCTTTGTCTCCCCAGTGCCGATGTTAATACGCAACACCAGTTACTCGTTTGAGGCTGAGTCGACCTAGGGGAGGTTCAAATAATCGTCACCGGTGGTGGCCGTGAGCGGGAATCGAACTCGGTTCGCCGGGTTGGTAGCGCAGCGTAGCGTTAAGCACTACACCCACCGCTCCTCACACACCACACACGCACAGACACACACACAGACACACACACAGACACACGCAGACACACACAGACAGACACAGACAGACACACACACACACAGACACACAGACAGCACGCTAAGCACTACACTATCGCTCCCCACACACCACACACGCACACACACAGACACACACACAGACACACACACACAGACACAGACAGCACGCTAAGCACTACACTACCGTTCCCCCTACACAACACACGCGCGCGCGTCCATAGGAACACATACACGCGCTTGCTGCAGACACACACGACTTTCAGGGTGCGCACGGCAGTAAACGACTGCAATAATAAAGCGGCAATGCTGCGCGAGGAACGCCTTAGACCTGCAACACATTTGTGTAATGCGAGCGTAAACACACAAAGACATACAAACACATACACACACACACATACACACATACACACAAACACACACACACACACACATACACACAAACACACACATACATACACACAAACACATACACAATACACACAGACATACATGCAGACACACAGAGACACACATAACACACATACATACACACACATACATACACAGAAACACATACACACATACATACACACACACATACACACATACATACACACACACATACACACAAACACATACACACACGTACATACACACATACAGACACACAGACATAGACATAAACACATACAAAAAAACCCACATACATACACACACAGACATACACACAAACACATACATACACACATGCATACAGACACACAGACATACACATAAACACATACACATGACCCGGCTTCGCCCGGGACTTGGATCTACCACGCCCGGCCGCCTTTGTCTCCCAAGTGCCGATGTTAATACGCCACACCAGTTACTCGTTTGAGGCTGAGTGGACCTAGGGGAGGTTCAAATAATCGTCACCGGTGGTGGCCGTGAGCGGGAATCGAACTCGGTTCGCCGGGTTGGTAGCGCAGCGTAGCGTTAAGCACTACACCCACCGCTCCTCACACACCACACACGCACAGACACACACACAGACACACGCAGACACACACAGACAGACACAGACAGACACACACACACACAGACACACAGACAGCACGCTAAGCACTACACTACCGCTCCCCACACACCACACACGCACACACACAGACACACACACAGACACACGCAGACACACACAGACAGACACACACACACAGACACAGACAGCACGCTAAGCACTACACTACCGTTCCCCCTACACAACACATGCGCGCGCGTCCATAGGTACACATACACGCGCTTGCTGCAGACACACACGACTTTGAGGGTGCGTAAGGCAGTAAACGACTGAAAAAATAAAGCGGCAATGCTGTGCGAGGAACGCCTTAGACCAGCAACACATTTGTGTAATGCGAGCGTAAACACACAAACACATACAAACACATACACACACATACACACAAACACATACACACACATACACACACATACATACACACAGACATACACATACACACAAACACACACATACATGCACACAAACACATACACAATACACACACACATACATGCAGACACAGACAGACACATAACACACATACATACACACACATACATACACAAAAACACATACACACACATACATAGACACACACATACATACACACAAACACATGCACACACGTACATACACAACAACAACAACAACAACCGCCATTCGCCACTAAGTGGCGGTGACGTCACCACGATGCTTGTGCCAGGCCAAGTGCACCTTGAGGCCACGTGAAGTGTCGAAAGCCCGCTGGCAGGAGGTCACGGGGCAGACCCAGGTGCCACTGGTCGACTGACCGAGATGACCGAGATGACTGGCTGATGCACCACCTGTGCCCCCTACTGTGCCAACTTGCTGTGCTTTAGCCACCCGGCGCTCCGCTCGTTGTTGTGAGCGTCGCTCCTCCGCCCTCCGTTGTTGTTGGAGGGCGACTGCCTCCAACTGCCCAGTAGCGTCCTTCACGAGCCTCCTCCACTGAGGCCGATCTTGACACCGCTGGTACCAGTCATCGGCAAGTCCACTCAGCTCCACGTCCTCCTGTACCACATCACTCCATCTCTTCTCCAGCCCGTGCCGCGCCCGTCTAGCCCCCTCGATCCGGCCGAACAAAAGCTGTTTAGGCATGCGGTGGCTGGGCATGCGGGCTACATGACCCAGCCAACGCAGCCTTGCCTGCCGGAGGAGCTCACTGATGGGACTTTGCCCAGATCTTTCAAGGATTTGTGAGCTCCTCACACAATCCAGCCTGGTTAAACCCAGGATGGATCGTAGGCAGGCCAGCCTAAATGTTTCCAACCGGCGAAGATGCTCCACCAGGGGGGTCCACGTCTCGCAAGCGTAGAGAAGGGAGGGAATGACCGTGGCCGAGAAGACCTGAAGCTTCGTGCGGAGCGACAGACCAGGTAGCTTCCACACAGCGTTACGCAACCGATGAAAAGATATTGCCGCTCGACTGATTCGGAGTGAGACCTCTGCTGATAGACTGGAGCCGGTCATAAGCACACTGCCCAGGTATGGGAAACTCTCCACTCTCTCCACAACTGCCCCATCACCAATTGGGAGTTGTGGGGGTGGAGTGTCCGATGGTACAAAATACCCAGGCAGGTGCTTGGTTTTGGTGGGGCTGATGGTAAGGCCCCACCTACATAGAGACACGCAGACATACACATAAAGACATAAAAAAAACCCACATACATACACACACACATACACACAAACACATACATACACATACATACACACATACATAGAGACACACAGACATACACATAAACACAAACACACATACACATGACCCGGCTTCGCCCGGGACTTGGATCCACGATGCCCCGCCGCCTTTGTCTCCCCAGTGACGATGTTCACACACGACAGCAGTTACGCGTTTGAGGCTGAGTGGACCTAGGGGAGGGCCAGGTCCGTTTCAAATAATCGTCAGCGGTGGTGGGCGTGAGTTGGAATCGAACTGGGGTCGCTCAAGCAGCTTAATGACTGTTTGTACAAAGAACATATAAAGAATCGATTATAATAACCAGGCTACAGTCCACATTATAGACTGCCAGTACACGCAGTCAGCTTCATAAGCAGGCTAGAGTGTACATGATAGAGTGGCAGTACGCTCACCGAGCTTAATAAGCAGGCTACAGTGTACATGATAGACTGGCAGTACGCTCACCCAGCTTAATGAGTATTTGTACAGTGAACATTAAAGTAATCGATTGTTGGCGCGTTGGGTTTAAAAGTAATATTAATAGCACACATTGTGGTGGGGGTGTAGTGAAGAGTAGGAAAAACTTTGATGAATTTACCTCAGAGTGGCGTGGTGGGTGTCGAGGCCTAGTAGCGTGCAAAGCCTGCGGCCTCGCCTAAAATTGTCGGCTTGGAAGAGGCAGGGTACGGGTGGCGTTCCTTCCCCCCCCCCTCAGCGCTCCAACAATACTGTGTAATGGCTATTATTTAATTAAATACGGAGCTTATGAAAGTGGCGAAGGCGTGGCTAGCCGTTGGCAGAAGCAACCACCGTCCAATGAAACTGCAGCCCTTGGCGAAGGCGTCGCTAGCCGTTGCCAGGTCCAATGAAAGCGGCGAAGGCGTGGCTAGCCGTTGCCAGGGGCAACCGCCGTCCAATGAAAGTGCGTATGGGCCGAAATACACACACACACAGACAGACAGACATGAACGATTTTATATATATAGATGTAATGACAATCGTGTTGAGCGGGGTGCTTCTAGAAAACGAGTGTTTTACATTATAATTTCTGCCATGAACTTTTAATAATCAACTGAATGGTTTAGCTTGTAAGCTTGGTTTATTATCACGTCAATATTAAAGGTTTTTTGGGTTAGATCGCTTAAATATATAAATGTTTCGTTGAAACCCGCCACCACCCGACAAAGCCAACTAGATAGAGTTGTCACGTTAACAGAAAATGCATATTTGTCACTAGTACAGCACACCGGTGTGTTGGAGAGCCAAGCCGCAACATTTACAAACTGAGTACGACGTTTCGTCCGTAATTAAAACTAGCTTCATCAGTCGACAGCCAGATTTGGGAAGTCTCACTGTTTCGTTGCTTATATAGAAGCATAGATGTGTTGACCACGCAGCTGTGCTCTATTGAAGTATGCTGCCCTTTGTCGGCATGCATTTATTTAATGTTTTATTTTAAATACACATTTATATACTTCAGCGATCTAACCTAACAAACTCTATTATGGATGATATTGGTCCCGAAATCTTACGTGTTAAACTCGTGTGTATGTGTTTATATTTTGGTCGTGTTTTTTAGGGTCATTTCATTGAATATGGAGAGGTTACCAGCGCCTCGCACCCGTCCAGAGACCTCGTGGGCCGCTGTGGTGGCTCCGCGCCTTCCCTCCAGGACATTGCTCACATCCACCGCAGCGTTACCGTCCGGCAGCGCCGATGAGGTAGCGGATTGTTTTTACAGAACTTTACTCGTGGCTGGGGAAAGCCAAACAACAGGGAGCTCTTATTCTGAAAAAAAACGAATCAAGGGGGCGTGGGAGCGTGGCGTAAGGTGTGGAAAGCTCTCAGCCCCAGGCTACCGTGGGCACACCTCCCAATCAACGGGAGGCGAGCAGTGGTGGTTGCTCATGCATCCACCGAAGATGAATATCAGTCGAGGGATGAAAGCAAGGCAAATGAGTTAGATTCATTCTATGACCTCCTACATAATAATCCCATGATACTCGTATGTATGGATGTCATATGTATATATGCGAACCGAGGGACGGATATGCGAACTGGGGGTGAGGGATTAGAATTGCACAAAAATTATTATAATCGCATTGTGGCCGCATTAGAATTTGCTGAATGTGCAATCTCAATGAATTTGAATATCTTTTTACAGTATTTATTAACTATTAACCGCACAATCCAAATCAAAACTCGATTAGCATATTTATTGTTGCAGTTGTAACGTGTTCATTCGTTTCTTTGTTAGATCTAGTAATATGTTATTCATCATCATCACGATCAATGGGCTAAGGGTGCACAGGTGTGAACTGCACATTTTGTAATTCTGCGTTTAAGTATACCATAAACCACAACATAGGAAACACCACAACAAGATGAGCACTCGAGTGTGTACGTACACGTATGTGTGTGCATATGTATGTACAATCGTGCGTGTTCGCAGTGGAACGCAATCCTTGTGTGTGTACACTGCTGTGTATGTACACTGCGTTGTATGTCTGTATGTACACCCTGTATATGCACACTCGTGTGTGTATGCACTCCGCTTTTTAAATGCAGCAGTGTTTGGATGCACACTCGTGTGTGCATGTCTACTCGTCCGTGTTTTTTTAAGGAAGGATATGGTAGCAATAACGTACGATCAGTCATGTTTAAAAACAAATCAGGTCTGTATTGATTTGCAAGAATATTAACAGTAAAACTCGCATTAAATGTTTTTATCAATTCGCTTTGTCAAACGGTTAACAAACTAGGAAATTTATATCACTTTCAGGAATGCAACAGTTATAAAATATTCTCAAATCAAACACGTAAACATCGATTAATCATCTTCTTGGTTCTTTCGGTAAAGTCACGTATAAGGGAAATAATAAACATAATAAAATAATTCTCACGACGTTTCGGCCACAACGCACACAGCCGTCCTCAGGTGAAGACCAGGTCTGTCGGGGAGACAGCGTCTGAATGAAACACCACCACGTTTGGAGCGTATATTTAAGCTGGGTTGTAAGGGGAAGAGCGCCTTGACAAAATAATTTGCATATCAAGAGGAATTTAGCATATGCAGATATGTGATTAGTACTACTTGTGAAATGCGTAGGAGGTGGGCGGGGGGTTTCAAAGTCATATTATGCCCGTGCATTTATGCAGGATTAGCAGCATCAAAGGGAGGGGATAGTGGTATCATTAATAAAGGGAAGGAATGTTAATAGTATGTAGCTGCAGTAACTAAACAACCACGTAAAAAACTAAAGTATAAACTACATAGTATTATCAGTATACTAAATATATTCTCCAATAAGCTGAGCTACTAACAGTAATTAATACATTACAATTCTCTGTCGCAAAAAATATAGTATGCTTCTAGCTAAACTTTTTTCCCTTACATCACACGGGTCTACCCCGTTCTATATGCTGCCATCGACAAACCCAACATTAAATTACATACTGTTCAGATAATCGTCGCTGGTGTTGACCGTGAGCATGAATTTAACGTGAGCTAGAATTGAGCTGTGCGCTAACCACTACACTACCTCTACACACACGCGAGTGTGCATGCACAGCAATATTAACGTCAATATTTTTTTTGCAGATTAATAAAAATCGGATTTTTTAAAGTTATCTGAGCGTCCGTTAACTGTCCAATGCTTACAACAAACACGTACACACACGAGTCAAAGTCAAGTGTACTTACACAGCAGTGTAAATACACACACGCTTACAGGCAATACCATGTCGATTATCATTAAAAGTGTATGACAGCAATCGTAATAATTTGCGTGGATTAAATTAAACAAATCACCTTGATTGTTCTGACGCGCTCAAATCAACAAAAGTACTTCAATAAATTTATAAAACAAAGTATAAACTTGCACCTTCAGTCTGCATTTCCCTGGTAACGCATTTGAACTGGCAGCATTTTGCAGCATATTGCAGGGTGAATATTAGCAAATGAATGCAAATTATGCGGTGAGATGAATATATGTATTCAGGCTTAAGCTCAATGGCAAGATTAGCGAAGCTCTCTTGCTAAATATGCAGATTGTAAATTCTAAAAACAAAAAATGTATTTAAAGATCATGAAATACAAAGTCGAGAAATTCATATTTCATTAATGCAACATCATTCCAAACGACCCCACCATTTCTGTGCTGGTGTAATTGCCCCAATTTGAATGATACCTGTGACTTGCAGCTTTCCACACCTTACGCCACGCTCCCACGCCCCCTTCATTCGTTTTTGTTCCTCAAAAGGAGGCACTCCCTGTTTTTTGCCAAACCCCTGCCACGAGTAAAGTTTTGCAAAAACAAACCCCTTCCTTCATTGACGGTCTCGGACGGTAACGCTGTGGTAGATGTGAGCAGTTTCCCAGAGGGAAGGCTCGTAGCCACCACAGCGGCCCACGAGGTCTCTGGACGGGTGCGAGTGGCTGGTAACCCCTCAATATTCAATGCAATTGCCTTAAAAACCCGTCCAAAATATTAAACACGTGCAAAATATTGAACACAAACACACTGGTGTATATACACACCGAAGGAACCAATTATCCATTCGTGTCTCTAGCAGACCATTGCAAGCCTTGTGTTAGAGAATGGCCCACTGAAGCTGATATCACAGAACTAATTCTGAGTACACTTCAAGTGCCCTCTGGTCCACATAGTAAAAAGCAGGACCCTCCCACCTGTTCTTTAAGTAGGAGTAACGTCTCTCATATGTTTGTCCTTGTGTAATGACAGGGTTACACCTGTTGACATGACAAAGTGACACCTGCTGTCCTGGGAAGGCATTGACGGGTACAGGCACAGAAGTAACAGCCAATCAGTGAAGGAGGCGTATCTGGGGCAAAGCAAACAGGTGGGGTTAGCCGAAATGCTCGGGGAATCTGCTCGAAGGTTCCACGAAAGGGCGTGGCTGGAGGCGGGGCTTAGGCACACCTAGGGGAATATAATGGGGAGTGGAACCGGAGCTCGGGGCTCGTGTGGGGTCCTGGGTCCTGGCTGTGTCGCTGTTCACCGAAATCTCTCTCCGTTGTCCGGCCACGTGGAAGATCTCCTGAATGATTACATCGCCGTCATCATCATGCCGCCAGCCAGCGGCGAGACGAGTGAGGGCGAGGGGACCACGCTGAGTGATCGACTCTGCGTGCAGCCAGTAGAGGTGTTATTGCCGAGAGTTCTATTCAGTGAGAGTAAGAACCAGTGTTGGCCTGTATTGTGCCCACTGTGAGAAATAAAGAAGTACCCTCTATGTGACGTGTCGTGGAAGTCACTCATTACACTTGTACTGCCACACACACAGCTGGGACACCTCACATCCGAGCCAAGGCACATTTACCCAACACAGACAGCACTTGCAAGCAATTCAACGTTATGTTGTGTCATCATGGGTTTATTTCACAACGTTTATATAGTACCAGCAACAACAATGGTATTGAATCTTATTCTTTACAGGAGTGGCTCTGGGGCTTGCCACGTGGCAGGTTTCGTCAATTGTCTGTACAAGACCCCTCTAGCTCTCTCGTCCTGGGTCAGCTGCCCCTTCCATGTCCTGGAAACCATGGCAAGGTCACCCCATGAGGACTGCCTGGATGAAAACCAGCATGGAAGGGGCCCAGGATGGGGACGGCTATGTTTTTTGGCTAGTCCCGTGTGTGTTTGTTGTGTGAGGTGTCTTGATAGCAGTCGTTCTCCACTGTAGTCCTGGCATCTGCTGCTCAGATTCCTTCCACAGCTGTGGTCCCAGTGGCACCGTCTCTCCGGCGAACCATGTGGTGTGTGTGTGACGAGTATCACGGGGTGTGTGGGTGAGTGGGTGGCATGTGTCACGGAGTGGGTGGATAGTCTGGTGATAGTGGTCATGGTTGGCAGCGATCCACGACCACAACAACCACCCCTATTGTGTGGTGGACATGCCACCACAAAGCAGCACGCGGCGGAGGAGTGAGGTGATCGCTCTCGCCACGCGAGCAAGGCCCCCTCGCTTCCTCTTCTTTCCCTGCATCACCACCTCCACCACCTGCACCTCCTCCACCTCCTGCTTTGTCTCGTCCTCCATCTCCTCTTCATCCTCCACCACCATCTTCTCTCCCTTGTCTGTGTTCTCCATTCTCTCCTCCTGTTCCTCCTCAACCTCCTCGTCCTCCACCACCTCCACCTTCTCCTCTTCGTGTTCCTGTTCCACCTCTGTCTTCTTCTCCATCTTCTCTGCTTGGAAGCACTCTTCTCCAAAGCTTGGAGCAATCGGGCCCTGCACAGGAGTGGCAGAGGTGGATGCGGTGGCGGTAGACGTGGTGGCGGTGGTGGCGGTGATGGTGGTGAATGCAGTGGCGGCGGCAGCGGTGGCAGTGGTGGTGGTGGCGGTGATGGCGGTGGCGGCGGTGGCGGCGGCAGGGGTGGCGGTGGTGGCGGCGGTCGTGACGATGGTGGTGATGGCGGCGGCGGCGATGGTGGCGGAGATGGAGGTGGTGGCCGTCGTGGCAGTGGTGGTGGCGGTGGTGGCGGTGGTGGAGGTGGTGGCGGTGGCAGTGGCGGCAGTGGTGGTGGTGGTGACGGTGGTGGCAGTGGCGGCAGTGTTGGCGGTCGTGACGGTGGTGGCGGTGGCAATGGCAGAGGTGGCGGCCGGTTTTGTGGCAGTAGCGGCAACGGCGTCGGTGTCAGTGGTGGCGGTGGTGGCGGTGGTGGCAGTGGTGGCGGCGGGTTTTGTGGCAGTGGTGGCGGTTGTGGCCGTGGTGGCGGTGGTGGCCGTGGTGGCGGTGGTGGCCGTGGTGGCGTTGGCGGTGGCAGGGGTGGGGGTGAAGGTGCCGGCCGTAGCGGTGGTGGTGATGGTAGCAATGCTGGCGAAGCGCTGCTCCTGCTCAAGGCGCTTCTCCTCCTCGACGTGTTTCACGTTGTCGAGACACTTCTCCTCCTCCTCCAGACTCTTCTCCTCAGCACACTTCATCTCGCGATGATGCTTCTCATCAATGAAGTACTTCACTTTAATGAGGCGCTTCTTGAGGAGATAATCTCGGAAGTACTTCTCCTCTGTGCGGCACTTCGCCCTGGCAATGCGCTGCACCTCAAAGAGGCGCTCCTCTTCCATGGTGCATCTTTCTTTGCCAAGGTTCTTTTCCTGGAGATGCTTCACCCCGCTGACGTCCTTCAACTCTCCAATTATCCTCTGATCAAGCAAAGATAAGCAAAGGAACATTCAGACATGCACATGCAAGCAAACATTCATACCCACAGGCACGAAAACGTGGACGTGCACATAAACCCAAACAAAAAAACATACACATGTATATACAGATGCAGCCACCCACATTCAGTCACTCAAACTTGCTTAGTACACACTTGAATATACACTATCACCTACTGTTAACAGAATGCCTTATCCATCAATACTTGTATTACATTGTACGTGTAATACTAACTCCTAAATATCCCAACTCCTATAGAATCAAAATACATGTCACATCCTCATATATCCTCACAAACCCCATGCATGCACTCAAGATTTTTCTCGATTGTGACGGTTTCATAGCAAATGTTGGCAATAATCATCACTGGCAATAGATTTCACAGAATGTCCCAATATAAATATCTGGAAGCCCATACTCTGGACAAACTTCACTGCAGCGCCCATAGTGGGGAACTGGAATGGCAACTTGCAATCAACTCACAGACATAATTCATGTGACTGCCTGATATCATTCTGTCTTCATTGGTAATGGCCACTTCAAGTGCCTGCATGACTGGGATGGTGAAGAGATGCGGTGATGGTGTCGGGACATGGTGTTGTGATATGGAGAGGAGAAGTAATGGAATGTTCTCGAGAGATGGTGTATTGTGATGGTATAGAGGCACGATGAGGCTCTAATATGGTGTATTGAATTGATGGTCGTGTAGTGTGATGAGAAAAGTGATGGGGAGACTTGGTGTCGTGATATGTTGGTGTGCTGGTGAGGTGACATGGTGTGCTAGTTTTCGAGACAATGTCGTGTGTTTTAACCCTACAGACCCCATACACATCGTGCTCTCTTCTAGCCCCGCCCCCTCCCCCAATACGCTCCATTCATTGGCTACCACATTCTGATAAGCTCCTCCCCCCTCCTCCCTCCTTAACTTGTATTTAAGAACTTGCATCTTGGAATCCCTGCCTCACTTTATACAGCAAATTCAGCTGTGACGGTCCCACCTGGGACGGAGACTTGTGTTGCCTCCGAAACGTCGTGATTTTTATTATTTTATTTTTATTTATTTTAATTTCATTTTATACCTACGTGACTTTACCGAAATAACTAAGAGTATGAATCCTTGCAGTCACGAAAGCTTCAAATCTAGAACCCATACACACCTTTGGTGAGCGATTCTTGTAACTTTGGCCTGGGAAAGGGTCCACCTTATCCATAACGTCCCCCCACGTGGTCGACTGGCACGCCGACTCCCGGGCTATGAAGAAAAGAAAATGCATTCCAAGGACGAGTAATGAATTAGAGAACGAAGTACATTGAATTTCACAGAACTACTTTTGAGATCCCAGTAATTACCTCTTACCACACAACAGGACCTGCTATTGAGAAATAGTCATCACACGGCATTCAAACTTTACAAGTCATGTTTTTGTCGGCATTTTGAGACCGTAAATTACCTAAGCTTGAGAACCGAGTATGAACGAAGATGGCAGAAACTCAAATCTAAACCCATCCTATTTGCCACACTCGATCATTACGTCTTCCCATTACCACCAAGCCATGTCTACGAAAACTAATTTATCAAGGAGCCTCCTCCTCCGCATATAATCCATGTGATGCAGGTATCTGGGACTTACCCTCATAGTCATCCAAGATCTCAGCCCACGTGATTTGTCTGTCCATGTTGTTGGGAAGGAGTAGATTTTGTTTGAAGTTGGATGGCCTGGGGAGGTTGGAACAATGCTCAGATTTAGCAAACTTTTGAATCACTCATCCTCTTAATTAATACATATTTGACCACTCATTGTACCAATCCAATCACTATCGTGACTATACTCTTAGGTTTTTTTTCGGTAAAGTCAGGTAGGTAAAAATAGATAAATAATAAAAATAAATAATAAAAATTATATAAATAATAATAGAAATAAAAGAATAAATCACGACGTTTTGGAGGCAATACAAGCTTCCTTCATCAGGTGTAAAGGCACAGCAAAATAACTGTAGTTAATAACTGTAATTACTGTAGTTATTTTGCTGTGCTTTTTTACACCTGATGAAGGAAGCTTGTGTTGCCTCCGAAACGTCGTGATTTCATATTTTATTTCTATTATAATTTATATTATGTTTATTATTTATTTTTTCCTACGTCACTTTACCGAAAAAAACCTAAGAGTATGAATCCTTGCAGTCACGAAAGCTTTAAATCTAAAACACTATCGGGACTTTTTTGTTGTTGCTGCTAATCCTACATAATGCACGGGCATAATATGACTTTGATACCCCCCACCCCCCACCTCCTACGCATTTCACAAGTAGTGACTAATCCCATATCTACATTTTCGACAGCCCTGTTCTTCACCTGAGGACGGCTGCTTGCGTTGTGGCCGAAACGTTGTGAGAATTGTATTTTATTATGTTTTATTTTCATTATTTCCCTTCTACGTAACTTTACCGAAAGAACCAAGAAGACTATCGTGACTGTTGCTTTAAAAGCCCACTCACTCGCTTGTTTGCCCACTCATGTGTGCGCCCGATCACTCACTCATCCACCCACACGAACATGTTTATTCCAACTGCCTATTTCATTAAACATAATCACCAGACTTAACAATTATATTTCACCTCTAATCTAGACATGCATGTTCATGTACAGTCCATTTGTATTAATCGACTGCTTGATTAAAGACCCATATGCCTTGTAGGTCATTAGGGTCATATGACCATACCTAAATAATTTGTTATAACCCGAGCATGACGTCGTAGGTCACTTGATGTCAGAGGTACCACCCATGTGGCTGTGACATCACAGATTGGAGGCAACTATGGCAGTGGCTAGGGTCTGAACTTAAAGGCAGACTCCTCCCAAAATGTTGAATAAAATTCAGTACATATAATGTAGGACACAATTGTACCAGCAATCAGAACATAATAATTGTACTCTTAGGTTTGTTTGGTAAAGTCACGTAGGTAAAAATAAATAATAATAAAATAATAATATAATTAATTTTCGATTTAAAGCTTTCGTGACTGCAGGGATTCATCTTCTTGGTTCTTTCGGTAAAGTCACGTAAAAGGGAAGTAATAAAATAATAAAAATAAAACATAATAAAATAAAATAAATCTCAAGGCGTTTCGGCTACAACGCAAGCAGCCGTCTTCAGGTGAAGAATGAGACAATAACTTGGCAATAACTTGGCATTGTCTCATTCTTCACCTGAAGACGGCTGCTTGCGTTGTAGCCGAAACGTCGTGAGAATTATTTTATTTTATTATGTTTTATTTTTATTATTTTATTACTTCCCTTCTACGTGACTTTACCGAAAGAACCAAGAATATAATTAATAATAGAAATAAAATAATAACATAATAATAATGTAATAAAAGGACTCGAACACTTCTCTCTGTCTTCGTGTCTTTATTCAGGTTCACGTCTTTACCCACACGGCACTCTGTTATAACTCCTGTATTTGTAGCCCCCGGCTATTCACTGCTATTATAGCTTCCTCTCCCCTCTGACTCTCTGCTTCATCTACTGTAACCTCCTCCCTGCAGACTCGCTGCTACCCCTATGCAGACTCCCGCTGCTACCCCTATGTGCAGACCCTCTGGCTGTCACTGTATGCAGACCCGCTGCCCACCCTCTCTGTGCAGCCCCGCTGCTGACTGCAGCCTCCTCGCTGCTTCGGGTCGGTCACCGCTGGCCAACGGTGCCGATCCTCGCTCCCCCCGTGTTCGTGGCGATCTCGCCACACCCCGCTTCGCCCTTCGTGGCCTTCCTCTGTTCCTGGTTCCCCGTCACTCCCCTTGCTCTTCCGGTTCCCCTCCTTCTATACTCAACCCCTCTGCCCCCCACGTGACCTAACTCCTCCCCCCCTGACGGCGCCTCAGAAGGGCCGTTTACAACCGCATTACAATAATATGATAAATCACCTATGTGACTTTACCGAAAAAACCTAAGAGTATGAATCCTTGCAGTCACGAAAGATTCAAATTGTAGATATGTTATTCATATTCTATGATATTTAAACGGGTTAGTTATGCTCGTCTTAAATTCTGACTCGCCTGGGGTCTAAACAACGACAGTAACAGCAACATTTCAGGGCATGCCAAGTAACCTATTTAACAGTTCTAATTTGATTGCAGAAAATCTACATATAAACATAAAAAATAATGAAGCTTGTGGTCAAAATGTAAAATAAAAAGAAACCACATTCATCGTCAACAGGGTCGCTCACCTCGTTGAGGATTCGCTCTCAAAAGGCTTCTTCTGCTGCTCCCTCGTGTGCATTCCTCTCCACTGTGGGTGGAGGCGTGGCTGTGACGTAACAGAGGTGACGTCACTAGCGCGAGGCTCCGCCCCCCACGAGCCCGGCTGGCGCATCACGTGGTGCAGTGCTGGTTGTGCGCGGGACCGGAAACAGCAGGTCCTGGGTTCGACTTCAGACTCCGTGGTCTACACAGCGAGGGTGAGTGAATGGGTGAGTGGGTGAGTGATTGAGTGAGTGAGTGGGTGAGAGATTGAGTGAGTGGGTGAGTGGGTGAGTGATTGAGTGAATGGGTGAGTGGGTGAGTGGGTGAGTGATTGAGTGAATGGGTGAGTGGGTGAGAGATTGAGTGAGTGGGTGAGTGATTGAGTGAATGGGTGAGTGGGTGGGTGAGTGAATGGGTGAGTGGGTGAGCGATTAGCGATTGGGTGAGAGACGGAGTGAGTGGGTGAGAGATTGAGTGAGTGGGTGAGTGAGTGGGTGAGTGGGTGGGTGAGTGGGTGAGTGGGTGGGTGAGTGGGTGAGTGCATGGGTGAGTGAATGGGTGAGTGGGTGAGAGATTGAGTGAGTGGGTGAGAGATTGAGTGGGTGAGAGATTGAGTGAGTGGGTGTGAGTGAATAAGTGGGTGTGAGATTGAGTGCGTTAGAGCTTGAGTGTGGCAGAGTGAGTCAGTGAGTGTGATAGAATGAGACAGTGAGTTAGTGAGACAGTGAGTTAGTGAGACAGTGAGTGAGTGAGAGACAGTGAGTTAGTGAGAGACAGTGAGTTAATGAGAAAGAGAGAGTGTGGCAGAGTGAGTGGCAGTGAGTGAGAGAGTGCAGTTCGTGTTTTGTCGAGAAAGTGTGGCGAGTGTGTGTGCGCGTTGTGTAGCTGTGTGTACATCGTGTACATAATGTTTGTAGTCTCTAATTAGTCTAAATTACGCTACAGAAATTAAACATTTGCCCCCTTGCTTTGTGCTCTTTGATGTCGCCATTCCTGCGAAGAGGACAGAGGGGAGGCCTGGCCGTTAGGCCTGCCATACACCTCGGCCTCAGGCTTCATATTAAAAGTTCACTTGCTTGCTTGCTTGCGCGCTTACGACCGTGCAAATCTTTCGGTCGATTTTTTAACCCACTTCCCGTGATACAATCGAGCTGACATTTTGCACACAGACTCGTTGTGTGTGACATTTTATATTCGTGAAATTTTCTTTCCAAAATTATACACTTTTTAGGTAAAAAAAAGTATATTTAATTACCAATTGCTTAATGGTGGCAGGCAATCATCTGACCCATAGGTGGCAGCCATCTCAAGCCAGATGACGAGAGGACTCTCGCCGCCCGTTTCAAAGACCAATGTGGGCTGGGTTGTGGCCCATTAAACACGCATATAAAGGATTTATAGTGAAAAACTTTGTTTTTACGGGTTAATTTTTGTATAATTTGAATTATGAACTTGTATTTCATTCATTAAATTGCAAGCGTATAAACACAATCTTATTGGTTTATTTACTATTAAATTCATGGTTTTCTTAATCTATGTAGTTATGTTTAAGTGAGCGAGGTGGTAGTACTAAGTGTGAATTTGAGTTACATGTAAATTATTGTGCAATGGATTTGTCTGTGTGCACCTAGCCTGGCACGGGTAATATTGACTTTGTTATTATTAAGTCGTTAAAGAGATTGTTTATTTGTGTGTCTGTTATGTTTGTGTCAGTTTACATATCTATGTTTGTAGCTGTTTACGTGTTAATTTATGATGGGTGGTGATAATAATGGGTAGGTGGTGATGATGGGTGACGATGGTTCATGATGGTGATGAATGTGATGGATGGTGATTATAATGGTTGTTGCTGATGATGATGGGTTGTGCTGATGGGTAAAGATGACGATCGGTGCTGATGATGATGGGTTACGATGATAATCTGTGGTGATGAGGGGTGGTGATGATGGGTCATGGTGTTGATAGGTGGTTGATGATAATGGGTGTTTATAATGGTGATGGATAGTGATTTTGATGGTTGGTGATGATGATGATGGCTGGAGAGTCAATGTATTGAGTACTTCTGTTAACTTTTTAAGTCCTGTAATGTGCATGTTTGTGTCTCTGTTAGATCAATCAATGAGGTACAAGTTATTATTTGCGTGATTTCCAGTGCTCCAAGCTAGAGTGATGTTGTGAATGCTCTATAATGTGTTCGGAAAAAAAGTCTTCCTTTAAAGTTCTAAAAGTGTTCACTTATTTCAGGATGACAACAATTTTATATTTCGATAGATGCGATGCTTTGTCTGGTGGTTGTATCATCGGTACTATTTAATGTGTGGTGTTTATGGTAGAAGGTGCCATGTGTTGTGATCGTCTCACAGCTACTTGCGTGTTGAAGTTCATTCTAGACTTCGTCACGTTAAAGTGGTGCCTTGTAGTCCTATCGGATTACTTGTTGATGTGGTGTGAAGCGCAGTGGTTGTGGCTAAGTGGTCTTGTTGAGCTAAAGTTGGAGAATAACTGTGATCATAACTTTATTTTAATTGTTTAATAAAAACTACTGCAGATTATAGATTTCAGGATGTACGTGGATTTCAGGTTCGTTGTTCCTGTGTTTGATGCCTTCGATAAGGATGTCAATGGGGAACGATATATCCACATTTGCGTGTTTTATTTTGAGAAGATTTTAAACTATTATATTCCTGAAAATAAAATAATTTGTCTCGTTCCTTAACTGTTTGACCAAACGAATATTAATAAAGATTTCGATACGAGTTTTAACGTAAATATCTTTGCAGATTAATAAAAAATATCTTTGCAGATTAATAAAAACCTGATTTGTTTTTAAAGATGACTGATCGTACGTTATTGCTACCATATCTTTCCTTAAAAAAACACGGACGAGTAGACATGCACACACGAGTGTGCATCCAAGCACCACTATATATATACAGCAGTGTGCAACCACACACGAGTGTGCATATACAAAGGTGTACATACAGACATACAATGCAGTGTACATACACACGCGATTGTGTATGCATAGCAATATTAACGTTAATTTTTTTGCAGATGACTACAATTTTTATTTCTTAAAGTTATCTGAGCGTTCGTTATATGTACAATGCTTCCAACAAACACCTGTACACACACGAGTCAAAGACAAGTGTACATACACAGCAGTGTATATACACACGCTTACAAGCGATACCATTTCGATTTTCATTAAAAGTGTATGACAGCAATCGTAATAATTTTCGTGGATTAAATTAAACAAATCACCTTGATTGTTCTGACGCGCTCATCAACACAAGTACTTAAATATTTTTTTTATAAAACAAAGTCAGTACGGCATACATTTGCACCTCTTAGTCCAAATCCAACTGGACATCACCATTTTGATACTTCGATGTTAAATCCTCAAAACTTGCATCATTTTAGAGGACATTGTCGGGTGAATATTAGCAAATTAACACAAAGCACGGAATTATGCATGGAGATGAAAATCTTTATTTAAACGGAAGCATACAATTATTCAGTGAGATATGTATATGTATTAAGGTTAAATTATAATGGCAAGATTAGCTAAGCTATGTTGCTATATATGCGGATTGTAAATGTAAAAATTAACATTTGAATGCAAAGTCCATGATAGGCCAAGTCGAGAACAAAGGATTTGTATGCTAGAGGGGAATTATAAGGGGCTTAAAATCAGACCTCAAGACCATTTCGAGAGGGATTTCACTGAGGATAGACGCTCGACTCCTCGCTCTGCAGATTACCCTGTGATCATAACTTTGCTCAAAAACAAAATAATTTTCCTCATTGTTTAATAAAAACTACTGCAGATGATCGGTTTCAGGATGTACGTGGATTTCACTTTCGTTGTTCCTGTGTTTGATGGCTTTCACTTCAGGATGAATAGCTTCAATCGATAAGGATGTCAATGAAGAATGATAAATCGACCTTTACTTGTTTAATTGAGAATAATTTTTAACTATTAAATTCCTTAAAGTAAAATAATTTGTCTCGTTCCAGATCTGAGTTTCAGCCATATTTGTTTAAATGGGGGTCTCAATTCTAGATTTGAAGCTTTCGTGACTGCAAGGATTCATACTCTTAGGTTTTTTCGGTAAAGTCACGTAGGTAAAAAAATAAAATTTAAATTAATAAAAGTAAAATAAAAATCACGTTTCGGAGGCAACACAAGCTTCCGTCTTCAGGTGGAACCGTCACAGCACGCTTGCTGTATCAAGTAAAAGTCATTTACTTAATACAGCAAGCGTGACTTTACCGAAAAAAACCTAAGAGTATGGGGGTCTCAAGTTTATGAAATTGATGATCTCAACATGCTTACAAAAATATGACGCGTAAAGTTTTACTGCCATGTGATGAATATTTCTCAATAGCCGGTCCTATTGTGTGGTAAGAGGTAATGACGGACGTCAGAATTAGTTCTGTGATTCTTCATGTGCTTCGTTCTCTAATTCATTACTGGTCCTTTGAATGCATTTTCTGTTCTCCATAGACTGGGAGTCGTGGCTCCAGTCGACCACGTGGGGGGACATTATGGATGAAGTGGACCCTTTCCCAGGCCAAAGCTACGAGCATCGCTCCCCAAAGGTGGCTATGGGATATATGGGGGTCAAACACACCATATTCACTCCACACTAGCACACCATTTCACCACACCATTGCACCAAAACATCACCAAACCATCTCTCCACGTCACCTTTCTCATCACACCACCACCAACTCAATAGACCATCATAGAGCCTCATAATGCGTCAACACCATCACAAGACACCATCTCTCCAGAACATTCCACAATTTCACCTCCATATCACAACACCATCTCCCGACACCATCACTCCATCTCTCCACCATCACGTGCTGCCATATCCCACTCGTGCAGGCACTTCAAGTTGCCATTTATTTTGCCAATGAAGACAGAATGATATTATGCAATCTCATGAATTCTGTCTGTGAGCTGATTGGAAGTTGCCATTCCAGTTGCCTACTATCGATGCTGCAGTAAAATTTGTCTAGATTATGGGCTTCCAGATCTTTACAATCGAACATTGTGGACATTTTTTTGCCCGTAATGATTGTTGCCAACAATGGCCATGAACTCGTCGCAGACTATCACAGCCTTAAGTACGTTTATGGAACTTGTGAGAATATATGATGTAACATGTATTTTTTATAACAATAGGTGGT